ACTAGCTCTTTGTAGTTTTTATTTTGATACAGAGATTCGCTAAGTTGCCTAGATTGGTCATAAAATTTCAATATTTCTACCTTTGCCTCCCAGAAGGCTGGACATAAATTATAGACAAGAACCACCTCACCAAGATGAATGTAATTATTTATCTTATAGTCATTACATTCTGAAAATAAAATGTGCACTTTTATTCTTCAATCAAACTCAATACAATCTAAAGTATGTAGGTTACATCCATGAACCAAATAAATACTCCTTTCAGTTAAAAATTAAGTAATTCATGCCTTTCAGAAACTATTACTTATTAAAAGGAAGTATGTAGGTTAACTCATATATTAAAAATAATCAGGACTCATTATACACCTCTCTGCACAGAGCAAGGAAGATTCTGACAATTCTGCAAATGAAGGCACCTGTGTGAAATTGCTTCTGTAATAAAATTTGTAATCAAACCAAAATTACAAAAGAACATGTGTTTTTCTGGTTTTAGGATTACTTCCCTTAGCACTTACCTAGTGATGCTATTTTGAGAAAATAAGTCATTAACCACTTCTCAGGCTAGATAGCATTTCCATACTTTCATCATTCAAAAAATAAGTCACTGTATCTCTGAGGTAGACAAAAATTAGTAAAACTTTACTGGATTTAAATTTGTTGCTGTTTGCTAATCCACAAGCCATTATTGTCATTATCATACAGTAAGCATTCACCCTGTGATAACCTTCAGGAGAGCACTTCAGAGCCTACCATATCAGAATCCTTTCCTGTAATGAAATAATTAACTCTAGCAATAGGACATGAGATAACCCCCCAAAGGTCTTGTGCTAAAGACTTGATCCCAGCTTATGCTATTGGGCAATGGTAGAAACATTTAACTGCTAGGGCCTACCTATAAGGTCCCCGGAACCTTGACTTTGAAGAGAATTATGGATCCTTGATCCCTCCCTTTGTCTTTTTGAATCCTGGAAGCTATGTGAGCAGTTCTCATAATCATAGATTCTCACTGATGTGCTTCCTTCCCACAAAGGCCTCAATCTAATGTGTCTAGCCAGCCATAGCTGGGAATCTGCAAAATGATCAGCCAAAATATCCTTGTTGCAATCCAATTGATTATTGCAGGTATTTGTTACAGCAATGAAAAGTGATAAAAATGTTTCATGTCAGAGAAAGTACGTGATTTGATCAAGGTTATTCAACTTTGAAAGCCATTTATCAGTTTCTTATCTACACTCTTCTTGGAAAACTTAGTCTAGAGTCAGAACTTTATCCTAAAGGTTCAGTGTCTTGCTGAACAATTTCCCAATCAAGGGTTTCCTTCATGGGCTGGTGAGATAGCTCAGTGGACTTAGTGCCTGCTTAGGCAAGCGCAGGGAGTGGGGTTTGATCCTTGGCACCACATGCTGCACTGGCCCTGTGCTCAGGCATGCTGAGCCAGCAACTGAGTCTGGGTGTTGTGACACATTCCTGCAATCCCAGGGCTGGGGAGGCTGAAAACAGGAGGATCACTATGCGTCCAACCTGCATGGTGAGACCCTGTACCAAATACATAAAAATTAAATTAAATTTTTTAAAAAAGAGTTTCCCTCATGAGGTCAAGGAGATAGCTTAGCAGCTACATAAGCATCTTGCTGGCAAGTGCAAGGTCCTGAGTTTAATTCCCGGTGCCAAAAAGAAAAAAAAAATCACTCAAGAAATGTATTTCCATTCCTGGTTGGAAAGCCATTCCCTGACTGAATAATTTTGACTAGAAAGCTGGGCCTCAATGTGACATTTGCTTACACAGAGTCTATGAATGGCATTGTATTACCCATTACCTAATTTTCTTCCTACTGAGATCATTACTGACGTGGCTGAGGGTTCACAGCCTGAGGCCAAGAAGGTTATGACCTGTGCAAATAAAGCGCCAGATTTGCATGCACAGCCATTCACGTGTGACAGATCCAGTGGACACTTGTGGTCTTGATGCATATTGTCTTCTGGAAACCAAAAGGTAAATAAACTTTTTTGCTGTTGTCCAAGAGTAGATAATTTCTAAGATTTCTTCTGGACTTATGACTTGAGGATTGAACTGTCCAGTGTTGACATTTTGACCTTACACATCACTTAGACATGTTTGCTCTGAGCACCACAGAGGTCATCAAATAGGACTGTCTCGGTGCTTGCTCAGAATTCAAACCAATTCCTCACAATCTGAGGAATGCTCAGCTGCTACTGCATTTACAAAGCAATGAGTGAAGGAGAAAGTAGGTGTTTGCTCCATTTAATAATTATCTTTTCACTGTAGTATAATGATCTTATTCTTCATCACATTGTCAAAAATATTGGTAAAATGCAATTACATTGATATGTATGAAGTCCACTTGGCAATTTATAAATCTAAATAATAAATGACCCTTTTACTCATGCTATTAATATGATGACATAGAGCTTTTCTTTGAGAATGTGTGGGCTTTCTAGACTTGTACATCTGTATAAGTACAAGTACATCTGCATAAGTGGTGAAAATAAAGATTAAAGCTATGAAACAGTAGAATCAAAGACAAATAACATCCCACCTAGAACGTGGATAAAATTGCTACAGTTATATGAATAAATAAGTAAATGGGCAATCTGATCTCCATTAGAGCAACTCCACGATAAGTAGTAATTCTTCTTTTATTATAATTCTGAATTTAAACCATGAATGCACAGAATGTGTACACATTTTCTAAGAGATGTTCTTCATGTAACACAACACTTGGCATGGCCTCTGGTTGTTGGTAAGTACTGAATAACTACAATCGTCAGAGGAGCAAAAGCAGCAGTACTAGGCATAGTGCTGAACATGTGGACAATATTGTCTAATTAAGCACCAGTAATTATACTATAAGCTTGATGTGGTAAATTATATCAATAATGCAAACGAACAGTGCATAAGGCAAGGGTAAATGGTTTTCCAACTTCACAAAACTAGTAAACACTAGTGCTAGAACTCAAACCAAACTGTGTCTGATTAGTGAGTTTAATTTAATGAGGGGTTAACTGTACTAGGTATTGGAGCCCTCAAAGAATCAACAATTGAGTCACAAGGAATTTAAAAAAATGTGAATCACTGGGACAAGGATAGTAGATCCATGTTTGAAGAAAGGAGTTCAACAAAAACATGCAGACATTATGGCACTGATAACTTCCATCTGATTAACAGCCACCCACACAAAGCAGTAAAACTAAGACATTCATTTTTTGTAATTTTGTAAAAAACCCACTGTTTAAGGGAAATCCCATCTGAACAGAAGCTCATCTTCTTTAACAAAGATCGTTAGCATCGTGCAACAGCTTAGAAGTGTCCCATTGCTCAATTATTCAGTAGCACAGATGTACAAACTAGGAGTGAAGATTCCTGAGGAGAATGCTGGATTAGCCAGCTCTTCCCTGGAAATTTTCTTCGTTTCTTACCTTTCCAATTAAGTTTTTCTCCCTTTTCCTCTCTCCTGGTTCCTTACATTTTTTCTCAAGCTCTTCATTTAAGTAAAATTGCAAGATGTTAGTGCTTTATAACTTCTGAAGACATATTTTTTTTTTACAAAGATGGACTATTTCACAAAGCACCACACTACAACTGAGATGTCATTTGCATAATTAGTCTCTGTAATTACTTGATTAAATGACTCTGAAAAGTTGTTGTTAATCACATTTGCACATCAAAAAGCAAATTTAAGGGATTTATGTGGTAACAAAGCTGGAGCAAGAAACTGAGGTGTAAACAACAAATAGCCCTCAGCCAGATAAAACTTTATAATACCGATAGATGTCTAGACTAGCTCTATTTTAACCTAGAAAGTTATTTCTTATAATGTTGAGCTAGAAATAGGTATACAGTCTTTGGAAATGATAGTTGGTTGGGCTGTAGCCATATGACAGACTTAACTGTTTCTAGGAGATTATTAAAGAGTTTTTTATTTTATTTATTTATTTATTTATTTATTTATTTATTTATTTATTTATTTTGCAGAACCGGGGATTGAACTCAGACCCTTGTGCTTGCCAGGGAAGTGTTTATTCTAATAAGCCATCTCCTCAGCCCAAGAATTTTAAAAGCAAGTTCTTCACCTTTGCTTTCCTCACTAGCACATACTAAAGAGAAGAAAAATTCCTCAGCATTAACATTGTTTCCAGGAAAGAATTAAGTCAAGTGATAATTTCCATAAATTAATGGAAATTCTTAATCTAAATAACACCACCCAAAGATCACTGCAAAGTTTTTTTGAAATATATTCGGTTGTTATAGGGTCTCACTACATAGCTCAGACTTGTGGTGATCCTTCTGCTTTCAGCCTCCCAACCTCTGGGATTATAGGCATGTGCCAATAAGGCCGGATTCAGTGGCTGGCTCAGCCTGCCTTGGAGGGTGGGCATGGCATGTGGTGCTGGGGATTGAACCGCAGTCCCTGTGCTCGCCTAAGTCTGCTGAGCTATCTCGCCAGACCATTGCAAAGATATTTTAAAGAGGTTCCTTATTCAAATACAAAAATTAGAATGCAAAAATTTCAGAAATAATGAAAATAAGAAAAAAGGAAGAGATGCCCACACCCAGAGGCTCAGACCACCGTCTTGGAGGTAATGCGCTTCCCTGAACTTCAGTCTCCATCTTCACACACTGGGTTAGCACCCAACAAGGGGAGCATCTGGACTCATCTCCCTCCTCAGACTCAAAATGAACGTCGAATGTCTCCTGTATTTATGAAGCTGACAAACATTATGAACGAGCAATGGAAACTACAGATCTCCTGAGTATTCATAATTAACGTAATTTACATTTGAAGCTTTCTCCAAATGTCTGCATATTTGAACTTCAGGATTACTACACCCTTGCAAAGTGTCTGATCATGCCTTAAAAAACAAAATCCAACCTGCGCTACTGTGCCTTACACTACCTCATATCGGTAACCTGTTGAAGCTTTTGAATATGAAATGATGGTCCACAATACCATCGTAAAACAGGAATAAAAGCAGATTACCTGGTGTTAGGAGGATGACTGACATAGTGATGAGTGAGCACACGACTACAATCACCAGCAGGGCAATCGCAATTCCCTTCCAGTTTCTCTGTGGAGGGCTGTTACTTCCCAGTTCCTACCGAGATAGAAAAGAAAGTTTCATAATTATTCACGCTGCAAGAGAAACATATTCATAAAGCAATGATTTAGTGCTTGACACAGTCACAGTTTGAAGGCAGATTAGAATCCATTTCCTCTTCAGTAACCTATTTAATTATTCAAAGATGCATATATTATAAATGACTCCCTTTTTGGAGACAGAATTGGATTTCTCTGCAAGGTAAACCAGCAGAGCTTTGTGCCCATTATCCAAAGTGAAGATAGTGTTCAAAAGCATTGACTACAAACACCATGAGGATATCGGAAATGATCCACAAAACAGTGATGCCAACAAAGTACATCTTTGTTGAAATGGAACCTACCACAAATATTTAAATAAATTAAAATGTTCTTAAGGACTATTGACTACTTTTCTAACTGTTGGGGAAAAGAGTAAGAATGAAATAATCGCTCTGAATCCCCCCAAAAAGGAACACAGGACATTTTTCAACACATCAGGTTCTTTTTAAATAGCTCCCCTTCCATTCATAAAAAGCAAAAAGATGTAAAACTAAATTAAATGAGTGCTTCCATATAAAAGGTTAATGACATTCTCCTGCTGAGGGACTTGCCTGATATTGGCAGAGCGATAACATACACGGGTTACAGTGAACATGAATCGTTTTCACAATACATCTAGTAAATCCATATATTTTTATATGATGTGTTTATTTTGTTGACTACTAATATGTTAGTTTAATTTACCCAGACGACATTACCTTTAAATGTATGTTAGGTTTGCTTTACAATACAGTTTATAAAACATTAAGTCCCTCTTTCCCTCGTTCCCATTCATTCTGAAAACTCATTTCAGGCTTTCTCAGTATAGTACTCTTTAATCAGAAACAGATAAGTAGTTTGGGAAAAATAAAACGAAATAGTGTGGAGGACCATCTGGACAATCCTCCTTGAAAGAAGAGCAATTATCTCCATTTTGGCTAAAGCTGAACCTATTTTCATGTACTGATAGGTACAGAGCTGGCTAGGACTTCTTATCCCCCAAGTTGGCTTTAAGCAATGCAAATCAGTAGAGTCAAGGTGCTGGTGTGTACTCTTTGAAGCAAAGTGACCTCAACCCCATAGCACCCCAGAGCCATGTGTGAGCCTGGTGGGAAAGAGATGTTCCACACTGTAGGCAATGATGTAGTTTCAAGATAAGGGACCATTACATTTTTTTTCTTTACTTTAGGGAAGGGTCTACAGGGTATTCAGGGTCTCACTACTAGATCGGACTCGTAGTGATTCTCCTGTGTATTTTGTATTTTTTATTTAATTTTTTAATTTTTTTTATTAATTTTACTAAGAAACAAATAGCAATGAGACAGTTTCAAAACCAATTAGTAGGACAGTTTCAATAATTAATACATTGCATATTGTAGTCTTTGTAGTGGTTATTCATAGTGTCATAGCAATTACTGCCATACTGAATCTCAAGTAAATTTTTGGCTTTTTTTTTAAAAAAGGGTACTAAATGAAAACAAGAGACAAGAAAAATAATGTCACAGGACTGTCCTGCTACAATGCTGTATATGATTAGATTTCTGTGTAAAAATATGTAATTGTCAATTCTTCTGTTTACAGCCTCCTAAGAGCTGGGATTACAGGTGCCCACCACCATGCCAGTCTCAATTGCTGTCTGGAACACGAGGCCTGGGGACCTTACCCCCAGCCCCTGCACCTGCTGGCAGGAACTTTAATCCTGTGAACTATTTGGCCAGCCTGAGGCTATGACCTCTCTGTCTCTCTCTGTCTCTGTCTGTCTCTGTCTCTCTCTCTCTCTCTCTCTCTCTCTCTCTCTCTCTCTCTCTCTCTCCTTTTTGCAGAACCAGGGATTGAACTCAGGCCCTTGAGCTTGCCAGGGAAGCGCTTATTCCACGGAACCATCTCCCCAGCCCCCCAAGGCTAAGGCTTCTTCTGGCATAAAAGGTTACACTTCAGAGCTGAGGCACTTGCCTCTAAACATTGTATACTATCTCAATTATGTTGTACAGATTACTGTTTCTGCATATGCTTCTCTGCATATTACAGAGGCGATTCCAGGCCTCCTACCTAGCCCAGCCCACAGCACTCAAGCACATCCTGCCATTCTCAGTCATTCATCCTCAAGCTACTCCCTTCTTCATGAATTAATAACACCTAGTTTTAGCCCTGGATCAAGACCTTTGTTTGGGTTAACTATCTTCCTAGCTAGACATTGGACCCCTTGACTCCGCACAACTACGGGTATGTCTTAGTGTAATTTCTCTCACTGTGGGTTGCACTGGAAGTGGTAGATTGGCTTCAGCTTACTAGGATTCTAAGAAGTCTTTCTTGGGATTACAAATATAAACTTTCTGAACCACTGAAGCCCCTCAGAAAACTTGAATTAAACAAAGACAAATAGGACATTCTGTGTGCCACCTCACCTGGCACACATATTTTTGGAGGAGGTAGCACTGACTCATCACTTTGCTCAATTGTACATCAAGTTCTTGTAACTCACAAACTAAATATTGATAGCAATTTTTACAGAGTAATTTTAGCATTGAATTCATCACACACTAAATTTAAAGAGTGAGGCCATAAATAAAACAGGAACAGACCAAGCATACTAATCTTGTTGTTCCCCTCTGTGGCAAAGCACTCTATATTTGTCTTTCATTCTGATGAACCAACTATATCCCAGGTCTCTTCTACTCTTTCTAAGCTGTCTCACTCCATATCTGTTTTCAAATAATGCTTATTTTCCAGCATTTCTATTCAAATCAAATCAGGAAGGTGGCTGCTCAAGTCATTAGGTTTAGAGTAGTGACTTCAAGACAAGCAACAATTGTCTTATGACCCTCAACTCTCATCTGGAAGGCAAAGTTCTCCTAGGTTTCTAAGTAAGAGCCTTTCTTAGGAGGTGTGTGCTGTGAGAGCTGGGATCCAATGAGGCGGAAAGTTGTGAAACACTCATACGAGAAGCAAAGGGAATGAAAGAAAGTGCAGGAATGGACACCCAGTGAGTGTCTGGGAAAAGCACCATGTGTATTAATGGTAATGGAGCCGAGCAACGTTATTGCTTGACAGTAGACAACTGAAAACCCAGCAATCTAGCAATTATTACTGGATTTTCATTCTAGTAAAAGAACCAAGGATTATAAATTAAAATTTAGTGCCTGTGATCTTCCACTGTCACACTAACTGGAAGAAAACTTTTACTACTGGTTTGATAGATTTGCAGAGAATAAGGTATTTGGAGAGATAAATCAACTTACTTTGAATAAGTGAGGGATTTGAGGGTCCTGTCCATAAAATCTATCTTCAGTAACCTTACAATTGTCTATAATATCCTCATTCTCAATTTTTCTAAAACAAACGTATTGACACATCAATAAACTATTGGAGTTTTTGACCCATTTACAATTGAACTAAACATGAATACATTCTTCTGATAAAATTTATAATATTCTCAATTCAGTAATTCTATCCTAATATCACATACTTCTCTATTTTACCACCCAGAGTTATGAGGAAATACAATAGTTGAAAAATGGTAAAGAGATGATTCAGGCTGCAGTTATCCATTTGTGTAGTGCTCTCCATTTGTGTAGCATGTGGGAGGCCCCAGGGTTGATCCCCATCACAACTAAATAAGCAAAATAAAAATGGTAAAACGTTTGAGAAAAGTTTTGATGGTTATAAAGTGATGGATATAAGAATACATAGATCTTCTAAGATGACTCAATTCAAATCACAGACAAGCCAGTGCTTAATAACTGCTTACTAATCTTTTATTTGAAATCTCCCTTCTAATATATACATGCCATAGCACTTCCAAAGCACATTCTTCTTGTCTCTTTAGCATTCCTAGTCTATCCAAAGAAACAAGTAATATTTTGTGTCCATACAAAGAGTTTTCTATATCTAAGCAAAAAAAGTCATCTTACTTGATCTCTTTTCTGAGAAAGATCCTGCTCCCCATACTGTCCATTTACTGTTTCCAATATCATTTTCCACCATCTTAGATGCTTCGCTGTTCTCCCATACTTAATTTTGCTGCATTCAATCATTTTCATATGCTTTCAGCAGAGTTTACAGTCTTGTTAATCATTAAACATCCTGAAAAATCTCTTCCCCACCTTATTATCCTTCTCTTTCTTCCTCCCTCCTTCAGTAATAATAAGGATTTAACTCAGGGTATTTGCTCTGTGCTATATCATGAGCTTGCTTATTGATTAATTAATTAATTTATTTATTTATTATTTAACTTTGAGACATGGTCTCTCACAAATATGGTCAGGCTAGACTTGCATGTTTAATCCACTTGACTCACACAGTGCTAGGATTACAGGCATGTGCTGCCACATGCAGCCTCAAACGTCTCTTGTCCTAAGAGTTCCTTCCACTTACGCAAGTCAGATACCATTTCTTTAATGGAGACTATGCCTAAACAACTCTGCACCAGAGCTCTGTAGTTAATATACATAAGATTGCAAAACAAAAAAAATACTAAGCCTTTTTAAAAAGAATAAGTTGAGTACAGTTTTTAAGGAACACAAGTATGAAAACGGCCTAAGTTCTTACTTAATATATGTAAGTAAAATTACACAATTGCTTGCAGAGTACTGCCTCAACAAGTTCGCAACAATCACCCTGTGCTGTCATTCAGGTCTCTTCTCTAGTGCTCCAAGTTTTCAAGAGCCTCATCTGATCATTCTCCAAAGTAAGATGCATGTCTGCTATGGGCCTGTTATTTCACTCCATTTCTTCACATTATAACCTCTGAGTGTGTAGTATATCATACGTGCTGTCAGCCTACACAGATAAACGTGCAGGTATGTCACAGGTCATCACGTGGCATAATTATCTATATATAATAACATACTGTGATCAATTTAAATGATCAGTTATCGTCCTGTATCCTCCAGAAGTGCAATTTCATAATGGGAATAAGCTGACTCCTCTTGTTCTCTGGAAACAGAACTAGAAACACACTACCTAAGTCACATATAA